CATCCCGGGTTTCCCGACTCCTCAGCTGCAAAGTTAGGGCTTCAGTTCGGCCTCTAGGTCTCCTGCCATGGCCGCTGGTGCTCCCTACCCCTCCGCCTCTCATGCAGACGCACGTGTGTGGTCACCCTAACGGCCCTGTCGAGCTCGGGAGCAGGGAGCATGCTTCAGGACAGGAACACAGACAGCTGCCGGGGCAGGTGCTGAGGAAGCGGGGGAGAGTGTGGGGAAGAGTCCAGCCTCGGGGAACTGCTGTGGGCACTGCAAGGACAGCCGTCGGGCGTCCCCGAGTGTCTGGTGGCTCCGCCCTGGTTCAGCAAAAGGGCTCCAAGGCAGGTGGACCTGGAGGCGGAGGTCTTACCACACTCCTGCCAGCTGTGCCGTTCGGCGAGGCAGGCACCCCCTCGGACCAGCTTCCGCAGCTGCGGAGGGAGATGCTAACTAGCCCTGGGCTCGCGAGGAGTCCGCGCGCGAGTCACCCGCCTGGGCCCGTGCTCGGCACGTGGATGTTCATGATTTTCACTCTGCAGGGCCTCGTTCAGATGACACGAGGGAATGAAAGAGAAACGGCTTGAAAGATTCCTCCAATGCAGGGAAACTGTCACTGCTGGGGTGTCGGGAAGGCTCGGGAGTGAGACCAAGGTGACAAAATCTTTCTGCGAAATAGAATTTGCATTTCTGCAGAGCTTCTGGGGGGAAGTCGTGTGTACGCGCGTGAGGGTGGACGTGGGGGGAAGAGGGACGTGAAAACAGGTAGGAAGGCGAGCAGGATGCACAGCGGGGGGGACCCTGGGAGGGAAGCTGCCCCTCGGACGTTCCCGGCGCTGCAGCCGCAGAGAGCAGAGGGTGCGGCCTCAGTGTGCAGAGACCCCGCGAGAGCAGAGGGCGCGGCCTCAGTGTGCAGAGACCCCGCGAGAGCAGAGGGCGCGGCCTCAGTGTGCAGAGACCCCGCGAGAGCAGAGGGCGCGGCCTCAGTGTGCAGAGACCCCGCGAGAGCAGAGGGCGCGGTCTCAGTGTGCAGAGACCCCGCGAGAGCAGAGGGCGCGGCCTCAGTGTGCAGAGACCCCGCGAGAGCAGAGGGTGCGGCCTCAGTGTGCGTCTCCTCTGCCTGGCGCACTGCCCACCGCTCCCCTCTGCCCCCGGAACCCCGCTGTAACCACCGCAGTGCACGAAGGCCGGGAAATTAAGGCACAGGTCTCTGTAGTCTGTGGTTTGGACAGATAAGCCACATGCGAGATTCAGAATGTGGAAACAGACACTTGGAACAGGAGGTGAGGAGAAGCAGCATAAGCCTCACCCTCCCTGCAGCCCTCCTGGGTTCCTCACCATACATGGGGGAGGGGCGAAGCCATTTTATTTGGCGATGACAGAACAGAGTGGACCCTGTGTCCAAAGGACACAGGCTCCGCCAGGTGGCAGAGGAGGGTTGTGTGTGCAACTCCATGTCACCCCCCCCCCCAGCAGCTCTGTGCGGGGGTGGGGGGTGAGGGGTGTTATTAGCTCTCTTCTAGATGAGAAGAGGAGGGTGTGGTGGAAGGTTCTCGGCCCCATGCTCTCCCTGGCCCACCATCCCTGCTGAACCCTGGGAGTGGCCGAGTCCTCAGCACATGGAGCGAGTGTGAGGTGGCTGCTGGTGACCAGCGCCCTGGCCGGGGATAGGACACATTTGTCTTGGGACTGAGAAATCCCTTCACTGCAAAAAGGGTTTGGTTTTTCTGCAGCGAATGGTTACGCTGTTTCGTTCCTTTCCTTTCACACATGGCCCTGCTTCCCGGGCTCGGGGCTGCCAGCGGCTGGGGGACCGTGTCCATCAGCCAGTGGCACAGGGCCCCCTGGAAGGCACCTGGCGTCTGCCTCTGTCCACTCGTGACACATGACATGCCGCCTCGGGAGCGTCCTCCCAGGAGTGTCTGGGAGCGGGATCCTCTCTGCTCAGAATATCTTGCAGTGGTTTTACACAAGGGACCATCGGCTGCTTGTGCCTGTTGCCCACTGGCTCCCTGGGGGCAGAAGCTCTGGCTACAGAGTGCTCCAGGGGGCTGCTAGACTTTTTCTTGTGTATTTACATATTAAACAACAATCATGACGTGTCAGAGCTGGAAGGACCTTCCAGTTCGCTGAATACACTGCCATCCCTTACAGACGAGGCCCAGACAGGACGAGAGACTCGCCCAGAGACACAGCGGCTGGAATGAAGGTCCGTTCTGGAGGCTGGATCTCAGTCTAAGGCGATATGCTTTCCACCTCCCCCTCCTACCATGTCTGTAGCTTGCCAAGTGAAGAGAGGAGGAGGCGTGCATTAAAGCAGGAGAAAGCCAGGGACCACACACAGCAGGTCACAGACGTCTATGGCCGAAGCATACCAGGCAGGGAAACAGAGAGCAGCCTTGGATTCTGGTCCCTGCTCTGCCGGCAACTCCTTGGATGACCTTAGGCAAGTTGCCTTGACCTTAGGCAAGCTCCTCATCGGCAAAATGGGATCTCGCATCCCCGTGCTGCACGTTCGCGGGAGGGAGGCTAAGGTCTACCCGAGGGAGGTACTGGAAGGTCTTTACTGTAAGTTTCCTAGACCTATTAAGGATTATTAGCGTCTTTATCTGATTGCAGAAACATTAACTTGTAAACTGAGGTTGGTTTTAGATTAGTTTGTGTTCTGACCATTCACAGTGATGACCAAGATAAGAATAGATCTGCCAAGTGATCTAGTCCATGGTGCCCACAATTTTGGATTTCATGGATTGATGGAATTTACCCCCAAATGAAAAATTCAATGACCCATTGAATGGGCAGCTTTTCAGTTTGCCTACTGCGACCATTAAAACGCAATCACTTGGACAAAGAGCAAATCAACTTAACTCCCACCCACACCAGTGTCATGATTAGAAGAAAGAACATGTTAACATTTTAGGAGAGGCCGTGGTCAGAGCAGAGGAGTGCCCCTGACATTAAAAGGAGTCGGCTATGAGAAAAGGGGCGACCTCGTCCGTCTTTCTCTGGTTCCACTCTGAACTGGTGAAGACTATTATTGGGGCAGGACCACTAGCTAGGGGCTCTGATCCTGGCACTCTGTGTGGATTTTCTCTCCAGGTGTCAATCTGAGATCCTAAGGGGCTGAGGTCACACTGCCTGATCCAAACTGTTCTTGACACTGAGCTCACATTCCTGTTCAAGATCACCTCCCCTCTCAAAACACAGAAAGTTCTGGTCTTGGAAAACCTGGGTGGATGTGGTGGTGGGACGGTGAGTGGGAAACGGGACCTGGCATCTGCTCTGTGCCCTTGGCTTTTTGCAAGCCTCCCTGAGAATGTGTGTTAACATGTTCTGATCTCAAAGCCTCTACTGTTTCCATAACAGGGGCTGGCAACCTCTGGTCCGTGGCTCAGAGCCAGCCGCCGCCTCATGCTGTAAACCAAGTTTGATGTCCCCCCCCCCCCCCGAGCCCCGCCTGCTCGTTTGCAGAGTCCGTGGCTGCTTCTGCCCCTCAACAGCAGAGATGACTAGTTGCAAGAAAGACCTATGACCTGCAAAGCCTAAAATATTTGCTATCTGGCCCTTTTTGGGAAAAAAATTTGCTTACCTTTTCGATTTGTTTTACTTTAATGTGGCTATCTACAGAGGCATTATGGGAATTTAGGTCACATGCTAAGTAGCTAGAGCTAAGGTGAAGATGTTGTTGACAGCCCTGGCGGTGTGGCTCGGTTGGTGGGAGCACTGCCCTGTGCCTGAGGGTCGTGGATTCGATTCCCAGTCAGGGTATATGCCCGGGTTGCAGGTTCTGTGCCTGGTTGGGGTGCATACAGGAGGCAACTGGTTGATGTATCTGTCTTACATCAATGTTTCTCTCTCTCCCTTTCTTTCTCTATAAAATCAGTAAAAACATATTCTTGGGTGAGGATTTAAAAAAATATATATTGTTGACAAAAGTATAATTATTGGTCTGCCCTGAAAGATCCAGAATGCTTGTCTTTTTGGGGCCTTTTGTCCATACTTCCTAAGCCTCTGGGTCACAGATAGCAACAGAGACAAGGTTCAGGGAACTCCAAGTGTGATGCTGTTGGCGTGAGAGGCTGTCCAGACACTTGTGTCCTCCTCTGGTCCCAAGGGTGCGCTGCTGTGTCTACCTGGGTGCCTATGATGACCCATCCTTCCTCTCTTCCTTTTTGCCTTGAGCTGTATGATTACCCAGCTATGCTTGTTACTTAGGTTCTAAAGATGACAAAACTGAGGTGGATTCATGTCCTTGGTGACAAGAACACTGGATTAGAGATGAGGACATCTGGGTTCTGGGTTTGGCTCCATATGACCTTGGACACAACACTTCACTGGGTCTTACTCCTCCTCTGTGCCATGAAAACATTAATCAGATGATTTCAAAGTTTTTCACCTTCAGTGTGAGCCTAACTCTGCCCCCGAGCTAGTAGAGACAATGCACTTATTACTTCACTGATAAAGAATGTGGGAGGTGTGGAGAAGAAGGTCTGTTTGCACACATCCTCAACTGCCTTATGCATTTCGGCTACTACCAGTTAGTGATTACTATGTATCGGTCATTATGCCAAGCAATTTATGGATGAGATCTTATTGGCTTCTTGAATACCTTCATAAAGTAGTATTATTATTCCCATTTCATAGATAAAGAACCGAGGCTCCCAGGTAGGATGTAGAGCCAAGATCACCACCCACATTCGCCTGACTCCAAATCTCAAGCTCCTAACACAACACACTGCTTTGTGTTCCTGTCCATGTCCATGCACCAGCCTATGCCCAAGGTAGAATTTTCATTAGTGGGGGATTTGAGGGATGGTGGAAGACTTTGGGGATGAGCATGCAGAGCAGAGCCTCCTCTGATGAATTGATTTGCATTAGTTCCACCCCAAACAGCCCCCACCTCCACCTCCACCCCCTTTTCTGTTGGATACTGCCATGATGTTTCTGGTTGCTGATCAACTATGATGCGGTGTGGATGATTCACTGTATGTTTACTCCTAACGCCAAGGTCTTACCTCCTTTAAGGGGGAATTTTCCCGGAGGCGTTGGAATGGAGTCCTGGAAGAGAAGAAAGAAAAGAAAAAACAGAGTGAAGATGATATTCAATTGAAACTTACTTTTCTTTTCCAGTTTGGTTGTCGTAGAAGTACTGTGCAATGGAGAATCTACATTCCATCTGCCTCTCAAATTTTAAAAGGTAAGTTCACTCTCTTGGTTATAATGAACTTGCTCACACATGTGCTTGATAACATGCCTATCAGAAAAGCAATTCAGTTACTGCCCACGTTTCACAGTTGAGGAACCGGGGTCTGGGCGAGATGACATGAAAAGCTTGTGGCATCTCAGGGACCAGGATCTGCAACTCAACTCCCAGTCAGGTGCTTTTTTTTTTTTTTCACCTCCACATGTGTTATTTTTTCCCCACTCTGGTCAACATAAGAACAATCAAGTATAATATATAAATACTTGTGGGTTTTTTTCCATCTTTGATTCATCAAACAGTCAAAGTAGGTTGTAAACATACCTGGGAAGGTACATTTATATCCTTCCTGTGGTTGGAAATTTTGAATTAATTGAATGTTTATATGCCAAACATCATGAGGATAACATACATAATTAAATTGAATCCCTGCCCTCTGGATTTATTATAAGTTTAAAAATGGATAGAATATCCTAATATTTATAAACATAGAACATACATAAATGCAAACATATATTTATATATTCACCGTGTATTTCATATTATCTATTCTGCAATAACAATGAATGTATATATCAATGTTGACAGAGATAAGTGAGAGGTTGATAGAGGCAGATTGTGTTCTGGAGGGGGGCCTCCTGGATTTGGGGATTGCAGGGGATGCAAGGGGGGACTTGTTGAGATGCACTGAGCAAGTAGGCAGCAGAAGCAGATGGTCACAGTTCTTCATCCCTAATACATTCTTCAACACTAACTCCCCCACACCTAGTGTCCCTCCCCCTTCTCCCCAGCTCGGCCATGGAGACATCCTTCAGGTGTCCCTCCAAGAAGGAATGAAATGTCTTACTCATCTTTTGACCTGCCCAGGTTGGGATCTCCTGAGGTTCATTGGACTGAAATATTACTAAAGACCTAGAGAGGTGTGAGCGACTATGTGATCAAAACACCTTCCCAACCTCTGTCAGAGAGAGAGTGAGCAGCTTCCCATATTTCCTTCTCTCAGTGTTTGCTACAAACACCTGGGACCATCTGAAGGTCCCCTTTTATTCTACCATTGCCCTAGGGGCTCTGTCTTGTGCTTTCTACTGATGACTCTTCCTGGTCTCTTCTCGAGTCCGGGAACCTCCTGCAGGCAAAGCCCTGGCATAGCACTGATCTGGAGATGGTGGGAATCAGTATAAACTTTTGGCATCACTTTCCAGAGGAAGTAAGTGAACTTGGCTCGGCAGGTCCTTCCCTCTTTACTCTAATAATCTATGATTTGATTGTTTTAGCCGAAAGCTCTTAACCTAAGTAACAATGCTGTTCGCTTGTGATCTCTCAAGTACGCTTGTGGTTCATAGGAAACCCTGACATATCACAAATTCCCCTCTGTGTTGCCTCTGTGAGACAGTAAATAGCATTTCAAAATTCAACCAGCACCTCCTTCAGTGCTGAGTGTGACCATCAATTACGGTGATGTTCAGATGTACACATAAAATCACCTCCGTTTAGGGGTGGCACTAAGGTCACCGAATTGCGTGGCTGCCCAGGAAAGGTTTTGGGTACCGTGAGAGAATGCCAGACAGCAAAGCCGATGGGGCCACCCTGTGGCCACTGGCACTTGGGAACTACCAGAGAATCATATATTCAGCACATATTTAATTATTTTTTCTTTATTGATTTTAGAGAGAGAGGAAGGGAGAGGGAGAGAGAGCTAGAAACGTCCATGAGAGAGAACAACGATTGCCACCTCCTGCATGCCCCCCACTGGGGATCGGGCCCACAACCTGGGCATGTGCCCTGACTGGGAATTGAACCGGCGACCCTTGGTGCGTGGGTGGGCGCTCAACCACTGAGCCACACCGGCCGGGCATTCAGCACATATTGAATGAGCACCTGGTGGGTGCTAGGCACCAAGTTAGTCACTGGAAAACATCCCATGGCTTTTAAGGCTTAGCTATTAAAGCAGTTATTTAAAATACACAAACAAATATATAATTGAAATTTTAAGTTGCAGCAAGAGCTAAAAAGGAGAAGAGTCCGAATTGTTCCAGGTTGTACAGTAGTCCCCTCTTATCCAAGGGGGATATATCCCAAGACCCCCACTGGATGCCTGAAGCTGCGGAAAACACTTAACCCTGTGTGTACCACGTCTCCCCTATACATACATCGCTTTTCACGGAACCGATACCCCAATTGCCTGCATCACTGCCGATGGCTTTGGAGCCACTGTGAAGTAAAACTAGGGCGACTTAAGCACAGGTTCTGTGATGACACCCTGGCAGGGGACCTGATCACCCAGATGGCTATTAAGTGACCAGTAGGCGGGAATGTTTGCAGCATGGAGACGCTGGACAAAGGGATGATTCACATCCTGGGCAGGACAGGGGATGGAACAGGACGTGTTGAAATTGTATCACGCCACCCAGAATTATTTATTTCTGGAATTTTCCATGTAGTACTGTCGGATCAAAGTTGATCACGGATAACTGAAACCACTGATAAAGGGCAGGGGGTGGGGGAGACTGCTGTACCTCCAAAGCACTTCTTCAAATGCAAATTCTGACTTGGCCGGTTTGGGTGGAGCCCTGGTCCGTAGTTCTGACAAGCTCCCAGGTGGGGCTGCTGCTGCCGGCCCACAGAACACACGTCGGGGGGCAAGGTTATAAGAGAGAATGCCGGGGAGGAGGACTTCATCAATATGGAGGTCAAGGGAAGCCTCTGGCTGTCATGTGAGGGCGTCTGGTTTCCTAACGTCAGACAGGAGACGTCAACAACAAGCATCTTTGTACAGAAAAGAGTCCCAGGCCTTCAATCTTCACCCGGGGCTCAGGGCATCCAAGAGAGCAGTGTGACTGTTTCTGCCTTGAAGAGCCCTTGGGACAAAGGCCCCTGGTTCTCCTGGCTGCCCACAGCTGGCCAGATCAGCGAAGCAGAGCAAGGGAACCCAGATGTCGTTCAGTCCGTCAAGCTGACTTCACAGAAGAGGAAACCAAGACACTCATGAGTCAGTGGCAGATCTGAACTGAAATTCTCTGGTGTTCTTTCCACTTCCCCAGGAGCAGGGGCTATCTTTAGAAGCCAATGACAGGGGAGCTCATTTCGCCCTCCTCTCCTCTCCCATTGGGAGATAGAAGAGCAAGGTATAAAGGAATGATGATTTTTTAAAAATATGTTTTTTATTGATTTTTTTTTTTTTAGAGAGAGGAGGAGGAAGAAATAGAAACATTGATGTGAGAGAGAAACATTGATCAGCTGCCTCCTGCATGCCCCCACTGGGGATTGAACCTGCAACCCAGGAATGTGCCCTGACTGGGAATCGAACCAGGACCTCTCAGTCTAGGGGACGACACTCAGTCTACTGAGCCACGCTGACTGGGCAAGAATGTTGACTTTTAAAATTTGCTGAGGACTGTATATGCCCTGGGCACCATGCTAAGTGCTGTCCATCAGTTTCTCTTTGGCAGGTGCCTCCCAGTCCTCCGATTCTCCCCCACATCTTGCCCGGGGATCTGGATCCTGGCTGGGGAAATGCGAACCATCTTGCTCAGTAACTTGGCCTTAAGGCAAAAAGTACAGACTATACACAGACACAAGCCAGTGGACCCTCCGAGGTTGTCATTCTCAGCTCCATGAGTAGCTCAGGAAACATCATCTCCATGGTTACCAAACAGTACACTTCCTTCAGTGTCCTCTCTTGGTTTAGACTCTGGTGTCTGATGGGGGTCTCCAACATTTCTGTGCGTGGAGAGAAAAGCTATCCCATTGAACCTGCTCGTCCGGGTGACCCAATCCCAATCATCTTCTCTGCCTAGGACTCTGTTTTCTCATTTCCTTTCATTATTGTGATTACAGGGCTAATAATCCTTCCCTGCACTGGGTTGTAATGGACGTCAGAAGATGTTATATAATCAAGTGTTAGCGAATGCTTAAAAATGGTACCTATTTTGGCTACTCTCTCGATCCCAATGATGTGTGTAATTTGCCTCAATACCTTGAAAGGCTATTTCCCTTCACAGAGCAATGTGGTGCCAGGGTCATCCGCTCCCCAATTTACTTTTGACAGAAGATGCCCTCTCTGATTGAAAATGGCCAAAGGCAACTCATGTTTGATATGTGCCCGGGGAGGGGGGGGAGTTCCATATCCCCTCCTTGCTGGTGTCATGCTGTCTTGTAAGTTGGGCCACAGAGATCTTTGTCAGGGGTCCCACTCTTATTGTCAAGGTCACAGGATCAAGCACTTGATCCTTTGAGGCTAAATGCTTTCCATGCATTATTTTATTTGGTCTTTACCCCAAGTGTTAGTGACTGGCCAATACTTAGAGAAGGGACTGGATTACAGAATGTCCCTCAGATAGGAGATAGCTGGGACTCAGGTGTGTTGACTTGGATGGCATGCCGCCTTGTCTTTCTAGGGTGGGGCAGGAGTCAGCTGAGGCAGAAACTTCTCCTGCGACTCTATGAGAAAGCGAAGGGTCATAGGAAATCCCCCGGAGAGAAAGATGACTTTGTTGGCAGCCTCTGTCTCGATAATGGTTAAAGTGGGAATTGGAATAAAGTGACCCCAAGCAGTGATTCCCCCAGTGGGGGTCTCGTTCACATGCTGATTCTGACTCCGTAGGTCTGAGATGGGTCCTTGGGTGTTGCATGTCTAATGAGCTTCCAGGGGTATCAGCTGAGCCACTGACCACACTTTGAACAGCAAGGGCTGTAAGACGTTACTCTACAGGCAGTTGGGGTACCTGCTGTCTTCTTTCCCCATGGGGAATGGCTACAGGAGGCTGAGTGTGCAGCTGGCTCAGATATGACTTCAGGAAAACTCCTGGACTGCTGAGGGGGTGGCATCCTACCTCTCGCCTTTCTCCATCAATGCCTC